TGAAATATTAATTCACTCTCTCATTCTCTCCTGCCTCAACTACTACAACTCCCTTCGTGTTGGCCTACCTCTACACAGACTATCCCCACTTCAGTCTACCATGAATGCTGCTGCTAGACCACTTAACTAATCAATCAGTGGCCACCACCCCTCTCTGCCAATCCTTCCACAGGTCTCCAATAGCCAAATGCATAAAACATAAGATACTAACAACAACATACAAAGTCCTCCACAACTCGGACCCCAGCTACATCACCAACATCATCTAAAAGTATGACCCAAACAGCCCTCTCCACTTCTCCCAAGACCTCCTGCTCTCTAGCTCTCTTATCACCTCCACCCATGCTCACCTCGAGGACTTCTTCAGAGCCTCTGCCATCCACTGGAACTCCCTCCCTATTATTTCTGCTTATCTCCTACTCTGTCTGCCTTTAGGAGTTCCCTGAAAACGCACCTATTCCACCTCCTCCTAAAATCTGTACATCCACTCCTTATCCAAATAGGCTCATCCCTCACACTTATTACCTTCTGTATCACTTGCCCTTCATTGTAGATTGTAAGCTCTCATAAGCAAGGTCCCTCTAATCCTTTTGTATTCTATTGTAACTATACTGCACTTTGCATACAGTTGGCTAAATTCAATATAACATTAGAATAATAATTCTTGAGTGAAAACCTCAAAACTGGAATCTCCTCTATGAGATTTGATCCACTTCCATTCTGTTTTTGTTCTGTTTTGAGGTTCACAGCTGCTGTACAAGCATACCAAGTACATAGCAAGCAGTTTCATATAGTTTTCATCACCCAAATGATATCACACATATATATTTGTTTCTTCAGTTGTCTTAGCAAATGTAAAATTATGTGATACAGCTTGTTGCAAATTAAAATCGTTTTGTTTGTAAATATTTGAGATGAATTTAATGTTTCAGGTTTTTCACAGTTTGGGATTATCCAAGGTGAAAAGCATTTTAGATTAATTAAGCCTTTCTGTAATTAAACTAAGACTACACATGATTACAAATCTGAATTGACTTGCCGTTTTGTAATGTTGACTACATCACTTGTCTGCAGCCTGCAAGAAGCTATTTTATGCTTTAATTAATAGACTTGAGCTAAACTACAGATAGGATGGTGGATAAGTCTGAATATTACTGGATGAGCCAAACATGTTTTTATTTCTTTTGGGGGAAAATTAAATGTTAGCACTCACTGTCTGTTTTTATGTCACGTGTGATAGGGCATCTGCTCTGGCTATTCCCCAGTTAGCAATAAGATGAGATGTAATAACAATACAAGGCATAGCAGAGAGTGCGAAGAGACAGTTTGCCAACTTTGTGTCATTCTCCCTAGAACCAGTGACTGGTAGAGTAGGTAGAGTGTTGTTCTTTTCAATTAGCAGTTAAAAGTGTACAGAGCCAGAGCAGCAAACACTATTCCACCAATGGAAATAGATATGGATATCCTGGGATTGATTTAGTAATGGAGTAGAGCATGTTTGCTTTCTAAATAAATTTACACTTTGCTAGTGAAGTTTCATTTATCTAAATGAGGTGAACCATAGTGACAATTCACGTTGCAAAGAATACCATGTGAAAGGAAGATTTTTAAATACCAGGATTTTTGCTTGCTCATGTTAGAATGATTGAAGCCAGTGCAACTTCACCTCATTTACTCAGCTAAGTGAATGTTCTCTTTGCAAACTGAATTTACTTTGTTTCAACTTGCACATGATTCACTTTGTTTTGCCTAATTAGGATAACTGAAAATTCACTTTGAAAGTGAAAATGTTCTGCTCCTTAGTCAATCAAGGTCACTTTGTAGTGATAGTAACAATCAGGACTCATACAGGAAATATTACTGTGTGCCACCCCTGGCAGTACTTCCACCTTGGTCATGGCCTTTGATGGCTGTGCAGAAATCGAGCCCTACTTAAAGAAGGTGTTTACCTAGATGACATTTTTTCTTGTTTATAGCTACCGGTATGTTGTCTTTTGAAATAGTCACAGATTATATATTAAAACTGCTGGCACTGACAGATGTCTTTTCCTCCTTTGCTGTTTTGCTTGGATGTTATGTTTCGGCAAATCACAGAAATCACATGCACATTAAGCAGGCAAACTGTTCTGTCACTTGAATTAGGGAAATGATTGTCAAAGCATGGCTTACATAGTTTTTGGTTAATGGGAACCAAGAGATTTATGCAGCAAGGTGGAAAAATCTTTGACGCTATTAAGAAAAGTAAGGAGAAATCAGAACGGTTGCTATTCGTATATGTCACTACCCTGTATATATATGTGTCCCTTGTCCCTTGTTTCTTATAGAATACAAAATGCCCACAATGCTATTAATGATAAGCTTAATGGCTAGCCAGAATTATTATATGTTGAATCTAGTCACCAGCACACAATCCACAACCAAAAATGTATCATTATTGTTTCTGTTTTGTTCTCACTTAACGAAACTGATTTAAGACAAAGTCTATATGATAAGTTATTTTTTTTAACCTATGCTGTGGGGATCACCTTAAGCAAATGAACTGAGGTCAATGTGAAAGAGCCAGGGAGAAAATATTTATATTTTGGATGGTATAAAAATAATTCATTAGGTATCACTCACCTGTAGATCCTTAAATCATCTCCTTATTCATGCTGACACTGTCCTTCCTTATGGAAGGTGGCTACTTTTGTTCCCCATGGTCCCTGTCTGTTGTAAAGTAGCCACCACTCCGAACTTGCTCCCATGATAGACTACAATCTCACATTTAGTTTGCTAATTTGTATTAAGATTCTAGTCCAGAGCATGTTCAGCTGAGTCAAAGTGCAGAAGCCATTCGACTCAGCCGATCCAGCATCTGGATCAGCTGAGCCGGCAGTTCACTCGCTGCCATTCGCCCCTATTCTCATAGGGGCCACGAGTGAATAGCCGAAGGCCACCAAGCGCCATTTGGCTGGGCTATTCTGCTTGCTACTTCTGAGGTAGCGAGCAGAATATAAAAAATGTAAACAAATGAAAAAGAATGTTACAAATTATTTAAATAAATGTAAAAAAAGAAACATATAAAAAGGAGTTAAGAAAATAATAAAAAAATGTAAAGAAAAAAGCAAAACAAAATGTGGGGTACCCCTCCCAAACAATACCAGACCCTTTAGGTCTGGTAGGCATTTTAGGAGGGACCCTATGTTAAAATAAACATTTTTAAAAATGCGTGGGGTTCCCCTGGTAGGAATTTTAAGGAGGAGCCCCACCCCCAAAAATGGGGGGGGGAAACGTGGGTCCCCCTAAAATTCCCCACCAGACCCTTGATCCGAGCACAGGCCTGGTAGGTCAGGTAAGGGGGGGACAAGCAAGCGCCCCCCCCTCCCTGCCATACCAGGCCACATACCCTCGCCACTTGGAGGGTGCTTTTCCCGGGTCCCCCTGGAAAAGCACCTTGTCCCTGTGCCAATGGGTACAAGAGCCTCTTCCCCACAAGCCCTGGGGCGTTGGTTGTAGGGGTGCAGGCAAGGGGCTTATTAACATCAGGGTAACCCTTTAACCCTCTGACAGATGCCACCAACATATAAACAATTGGGCGGAGCTAGTGGTGGCATCACCGCTAGCTCCGCCCAACTGTTAACATTTGTCCACCTGACATTCTGTCGGCAGGTCCCGGAAAAATCTAACAAATAGGCGGAGCCAGCCGTGGCATCACGGCTGACTTTGCCCATTTGTTGTTATTTAATGACAGTCCAGTGTCCTCGAGACGTTGGTCTGTCATTGAAGGGTAACAACTGGGCGGAGCCAACCGTGACATCACGGCTGGCTACGGCTTCGCCCAGCTGTTGTCATTTGCGGAGAGAACGCTCGGCTTCGGCAGACCTTTCTCCCTGCTTCGGCTGTGACTATGGCTCAGCCCAGCTGAAGCATATGCGTTCGGCTCGGCTGAGCCACTCAGCTGCCTTCAGCTGCTGTACAGGCTATTGTTAAAAGCTCGTACAGCAGCTGTAGCAAAGCGAGCCAAAGGATCAACCGAAGCTACGGCCAGATCTGCAGCAAATGTAATCTTTTAGGCAAAACATTTTCTAGAATCTACAAAGGAAATAACTGGAAATCATGGGATTCGCCAGTCGAGAGTGTAAAATTCTTAACCTGTGAAATATAACATTTGCCCTGTAATAAAAAATCACCTTTTAACCTAAAGACAATGACATATTAAGGTGTTGAGGGAACTTTAAAGAGGGAGAATGGTAAATATATTTTATAAACTGGAATGATGTGTAATAAACTTTAGGGGGATTTTAGGTAAAAGTATCCCGGCCAGGTCACTATCTGAAAGTAGTTTGCACGTTCTCCCTGTGCTTGCACGAGTTTCCTCCGGGTACTCCGGTTTCTTTTCACACTCCAAAGGAAATCTGGTAGGTTAAATTGCGCCTGTCTAAATTGGCCTTTGTATGTACAGTATGCTTGTGAGATAGGGACCTTAGATTGTAAGCTCCTTGAGGGCAGGGACCGATGAGAATGTGCACCTTTAACCTCCTTGGCGGTATTCCCGAGTGTGGCTCGGGGGTTAATTTTCTGTACCATAAGCGGTGGTAAAACTCGGGAATACACAGCGCGTCTCTTACCTTGTCCCTCGAGCCACGCTGTGTCCTCTGGCTGATGCCGGCATCAGTCTACCGGGTTCTGTCCCTTGCGAGCATCCACGTCGCAGGGGGGCGGAACTGGCGGGAGCTTCAAAAATTAGAAAAAAAAACGAAAAAAGAAGAAAAAAATAAAAAATCATACCGTCAGGGAGGTTAATAAATAAAAATAAAAAGGTAAACTAGTCCTGCCCAATCTTTCACTACAGTTGTGCTATTCATAATGCTCATGTGAAATGTTAAGGTGTTTTGTGTGCTGGCACTTATATTTATAGCATCAATTTGACTTTTAACCCTTTATAAGAAGACCCCTGGGTCTGCATGCCTCTTGGAGTCATCAACATCAGTGTTAATTAAGTCATCTTTGCTTTCTTCTAGGAGTAACAGCCTTTTTACAGAGGTCATACAGATGAGCTTTGAGATTACCAGTTTCAGCAGCCTTTCCGGTACTCAGCCCATCTCCTGGCAGCTGGAATATACTGGAAAACCCACAACTGATCTGGTTCTGTCTGAGGTCTTCATTAGTCAGAAGGATATTCAGGGAATTGTCCCTCTCTCTATGGTAAGAAATACTTTCTCAGTAACTTCTAAATGTAATTAGCATGTGGATTATATGCATGGAGACGCACATATCCTAAGCACAGGCAAAAATGAAAATTATTACACATTGATCACCCAATACCACATTGTTTTAACTAATTTATGTAGTTATTGGGGGAAAAACTGGGTGTGATTTAGGAAACTCTCAAAAAGAAGTTTGCATGTGTAAAGATAATAAAACATTTTACTGCTTAAAGCCCAACGTTAGACTTAACTTTTTTTTCATTCTGGACAATAAGAGGAAGAGGAAGAACCTTAGTTTTTTTGCTGCCTGTCTTAATTGGTGATCTTTCCCTATCATTTCCTGTTCCTGTGACATCACAACAAATGAGGGGAATGTGTTTCTCAAGGATAGGGAGACACGCAGCAAAAAAAACTGGACAGAGGTTACTAAAAATGTTTTTCCTGCTCTGTGTCCCAATGGAAAATATTTCCCATTATTTCCAGTCTCCTTGACACCCTTTTTCTGAAGTGAAAATAAATCTCCCCAAAGAGCATACAGCAGTGAAAAACCAGACAAACGTTGTAATCTTTTACTACTCTATCTAAAAGGAAGAAGAATATTTGACTGGGAATAGCCTTTGAAGTAAACCTCCAAATGAGTATATATTTTAATGGCAGGCTTGGGGAGCACAAGACACCCCATAAAGTGAACATCTACCTGTCCCATTAGCAAAATCCTTTGTAAATCGTTTTCACTTCCTTAAAGGGTTATTAAACCCTCTGATTTGTTTGCATATATCTACTGCTAGCAAGCAGTAGATATATGCAAAAACCTTAAAAAAATAAAGTTTTACAAGAGGTTAAAACTTACCTGTGTTTTTGCTGCGCGCTCCCGTCCGAAAATCTGAAAAATCTCGGACGGCCGCAAAGGATCTTGGGGCAGGCGCATGTGCAGTTCAGATTTATGGCCGGGAGACAAGGAGAGACACAAGGCAAGTCTATGGAGCAGCGTGCACCTACATGCAGACACCATGGGGCAGGAAGTGCCAGCAAGCACAGAGGAGTCAGCGCTGGATCGGAAACCCACAGCAGTGCTGGAGGGACATCTGAAAACGACAGGAAAGAAGAAGAGGATTGGATTAAGAGACATAATTTAAGGTAAGTGCTAACACTAACATTGGGGGAAGGGAAAAATATACTTTAATGTCACTTTAACTATCCTGCTTTTTGAAGTATGGGGATAACAGCATGACCACTTCAACATCTCACAACGCAGCATTTGCCTCAGAAGCCTCCCACCAAGCCCATGTATTGTCATGGGGGGAAGTCAAATGTCAAATTTCAAAAGTCAGTCTTTCCCTAGGGACATCTGTGGAATTTGGTGGTGCTGTGCAGTGGAATTTGCTAACAGGACACATGAAATCTACCACTTTATGGTGCATGCTATCCATTCATAAGCATGTTCTGATATTTTTCTATGAGTATAGGAACACTTTAAAGTGCATCTATAGCCAATTTTTATTATTTTTATTCTTTAGTTATGGATAGAGTGGGGAAGGATTAGAACTCCTGTCAGGTTTTAATAGAGTTGAAGGCCCCACTGAGAGATGCTTTCACTTCCTGTCTAGTAAAAAAAGATTGTTCCCAGGACAGGAAGTGAGGGGAAATCTCTCAAACAGCAAGACAGTCACCGCTCTCTACAGGGAGATGATCTGGAGGTGAGCGAGCGGCGGTATGTGTTTGCTCACTTCCCGATCAATAGAGCCGACGTATGACATAATAATTTGTAAATCACTCACCTCATAGTTCTACTTTAAGTAATTCAATAGAGTTTAAAGTTTAGTAAAGTTTAGCATTTCAAGCCCACAAACTTTTTGCTCATTTTCCCAGTTCTTCCTTCACTGATAATATTATTTTACCTTTACCCCCTTCTATAGTGTTTTACTACTCTCCCACAGCTACTGTATTGAGTAGGAGAGCCTAGAGTGAGTGTATATCACTCTAATAGGAGTTTGCATATACTAGGAGTTTAAATTAAATATGAAAGATCCCATGGACAAGGCCTTGGTTAAATTAGTATTTCTCTCAATCCGTACTTCACGGCTGTTAATATTGTTGGACTGTAGTAGCTTTTATTTAACATACGGACACACCTTTTTAGTAGTGTTAGATTTTAAGAATAGAATCTCACTAATACAGAAATAAAATGGCATATGTGAATCATTTATTGTAATAATATTTATTTCCAAATGGCTGTTATATATGGAGTTGTCAGGAGAATGTTATTATTATCCACACTGGTGATGTGACACTTTCCAGAATGTTTTATCTGTAGTCCAGTGGATAATGTGAGCATGTTTCACATCTTTATCTGTATGATATACACATCCCCTATGTGTCTTTCTCCTGCAGGTAGGGCCCATGTGAAACAAAACTTTAGAACTCTGTTGTAGATTGATTTGGTACACCCAGGAAAAAATTGTATACTTATTTTTCCATAAACCCGAAAGAGTCAGCATTTCCTCAAAGTAATTTCATCCATTTTCCAATGTGAAGTTCCTCTGAACCTAATTTTCAACCCTTCTTCCAGTGAATTAGGATTCAGAGACCTTCTTAAGATGCAGGCTGATGTCCTGCTGTATTTGACATTGCTTTCATGTATCCAGTACCTTCCACTCCTGCTAAATTCAGTCCATTTGTATCCATTAGTTGTGCTATGACATCCCTCAAGCTATTCTTTGCTGCACATAACAAAATACAAGAGAATCAATTATTTGCTAGTACATTACTGTTGGTTGCAGATTCATTTTTTAAAGCATGATTTGGGGAGTTATATGGTTTATGGTATTTAGAGTCTTTGAAAGTAATCTAACAGGATAAAATCGTATTAAGGTCCTTTCATTAATCCCACATGTTCCATTCTTATTTTATGAGCCACAAAACTACAACAACATTCTGCTCCAGCTTCGAGTCTTCAGATAGAAATGAAAGGGGACACTTCAGCACTTTTCTGCCATTGAAGAGACAGGATTCCTTTTACAATGTAGAACAATAATATGTGATAGCTGCCTCAGTATTACTTGTTTTTAGTTTGTTTCTTGTTCCTATGTTTTTCATTGTTTATAACTGCTGGCATGTCATGAAAAAGTAAAGTAATTCCTTACTTATACAAATTCCATTTATAGAACATTTTACAGTAAAGATAATCTGCAGCATGCCTGTAAGGTAATTGCATGGAACATATTTAAAGCCACTCAGCTAAAGCATTTGGAGTGTGAATGGACTACAACATAATTATATAAAAAGTGTTTACTTGTTTCCTAGAGGCCTGGAAACATTACATCAACATAATAGGCATCGCTCAACATTCTCCATAGACCACTTATGCCCAGTTTGCAGCTCAACTATTACATTTGGTACTTGTTCCACCACCCTTGGACCCCAGTGGTCCTTAGTTGAAGTAGGAACATTGAACTGTGCATGGCAGTGATCTCTAGCAGTCCCGTATATCCTGTCCCACCACACTAGTCATACCTATTTCATGTCTATAGACTCTGAGCATCTCCTGTAGTATTTCTGCACTCTCCTGTAACCTTATGCAGCTTCACATAACAACATTACTGAATATTATGCACAGCCTCCTGGTGGTGTCAGGGACTGCAGATGTCCATGCCAGACCATGCAGGACAATCAATAGAATAGGCTTAAATTATCTGTTGATATCTGATGTTTCCATTGTTTAAGGGCAATGCCTCAGTTAGTTCACCTTGTTACCTTTTCAGAAACTAGAGAGTGTATCTTGCTCTAATCACAGGCCTATAAAAGTCTAGTCTAGGGAGGGGCACTGCCAACAAATAAGCCCCCCCATCTGGCTCTTCCACTACTACTGTGCCACCCCTTTCCTCTCTCACCGCCTATGTGTCCACTGCCCCCCCCCCCCGAGGATCTTGCCGCCGCTGTCAGCCTTGGGCGGTCTGTACTCACACAAATTAGGCAGCTGCAAAGCCCCAGCATGGGCTGAGACGGCCGTCTAATTTGCCTGACTACAGTGCAGCCTCTGCTTTAGGTCCTGATTGTTCTGTGCGGCCGGCCGGCCGGGCCCAGCAGAGCGGCGGAGGGTGGGAGCGATAATAATAAACGCAGAGTGTGGAGGTGAGTAATGTGATGCAGTGCAGAGGTCAGTAATGTGACGCAATGGGGAGGTCAGTAAGGTGACGCAGTGGGGGGTCAGTAAGGTGACGCAGTGGGGAGGTCAGTAAGGTGACGCAGTGGGGAGGTCAGTAAGGTGACGCAGTGGGGAGGTCAGTAAGGTGACGCAGCGGGGAGGTCAGTAAGGTGACGCAGCGGGGAGTTCAATAAGGTGACGCAGTGCGGAGGTCAGTTAGGTTACATAGTTACATAGTTACATAGTATTTGAGGTTGAAGACATTAGTCCATCAAGTCCAACCTATTAGGATCTCATTCTAGGAGTACATGTACCCCTGTATATTACCTGTACCCCTGTATATTACTTGTACCCCTGTATATTACCTGTACCCCTGTATATTACTTGTACCCCTGTATATTACCTGTACCCCTGAATATTACCTGTACCCCTGTATATTACCTGTACCCCTGAGTGACGCAGTGCGGAGGTCAGTAAGGTGACGCAGTGCGGAGGTCAGTAAGGTGACGCAGTGCGGAGGTCAGTAAGGTGACGCAGTGCGGAGGTCAGTAAGGGGACGCAGTGCGGAGGTCAGTTATGTGACGCAGTGCGGAGTTCAGTAATGTGACGCAGTGCGGAGGTCAGTAATGTGACGCAGTGCGGAGTTCAGTAATGTGACCCAGTGTGGAGGTCAGTAAGGTGACGCAAGGCGCCGAGGTCAGTAATGTGATGCAGGGCGCGGAATTCAGTAGTGTGACACAGTGCGGAGGTCAGTAATGTGACGCAGTGTGGATGTCAGTAATGTGATGCAGTGCGGAGCTCAGTAATGTGACACAGTGTGGAGGTCAGTAAGGTGACACGGTGTGGAGGTCAGT